ATTCTGGTTCAGGTTTAGAAGCCAAGAAGATTTTGAGGGATCGCGCCGTAAGTGCCTTTGCAGCATGGATGTACGGTGCAGGGCTTCCTTTCAATTGTGTTAACTACAAAACTTTTGATAAATTCATTGAGGCCGTAGGACAATATGGCCCAGGAATGAAGCCTCCTAGCTATCATGAAGTTAGAGTATCTTAAAAAAGAGGTGAAGAAGATAGATAAAATTATTGAGGAGCATAAAGTGGAATGGAACAAGTTTGGATGTTCCATTATGATGGATAAATGGACCGCACGGAATGAAAAAATGATCATAAATGTGTTGGTGAACTCTCCAAGAGGGAGTGTTTTTCTTGAATCTTACGATGCTAGCAACTCTTCTACGGATGGAAGCAAAATGTACAGCTTGTTTAGAAAGACTATTGATAAAATTGGAAAGGAAAATGTTGTACAAGTTGTTACAGATAATGCTAGTGAGAATATTAGTGCGGGTAAGATGATGGAAGCTATGTATCCACACATTTATTGGACTCCATGTGCTGCCCATTATATCAACTTGATGTTTGGTGACATATTCAAGGAAAACCCATATGCTTCAGGTAACTTTAATATAGTTATCTTTAAAGCTTTAACTTTATTTATACTTATGTCCTAATTAAGTATTAACTATAAAATTGTTATTGTTACTTTTATAGTTTTCACTAAGGCCGTCAAGATATATTCTTACATCAGTCAGAGGCCGTTGTTGTTGAATTTGATGAGGAAATTCACAAATGAAAGAAATTTGGTGAGACCGGCCAAGACTAGATTTGCAACGGCTTTCTTAACTTTGCATAGTTTTTACTTGCAAAAGAAAAACTTGAGAAAGCTAGTTCTTTCAAATGAATGGAAAGATAATAGATATGCAAAGGAAGCTGCGGGGAAAGAAACTGCGAAAGTTCTTATTTCTCCATCATTCTGGAATGACGTCGTTCGGGCTCTTAAAGTTGGTGGTCCTTTGATTAGGGTGCTTCGTATGGTGGATGGGGAGAGAAAACCACCAATGGGCTATCTTTATGAAGCTATGGATAGAGCCGAAGAGACTATTGAAGCGTCATTTGAGGGAGATGTTAGGAAATATGGGAAAGTTTTTGAGATTATTGATAGCAGGTGGTCGGATCAACTCCATCGACCTTTGCATGCAGCAGACCATCTTCTGAACCCGGGATTATTTTACAAGAATACTAGAGAAGACACTTTGGATTCAGAGGTGTAGGTTGGATACCATCAATGCCTTGAGAAGTTGGTCCCCGAAAAGGAATAGGCTTGAGCTATCGCGTTTCAATGATCTAGTGTATATTAAATACAATAGAACATTGAGGCGACGTTATGAAGCTTGCGATACCATTGATCCAATTTTGTTGGATAACATTGACGAGGCAAATGAATGGTTAACTGGAGCCCTCCCAAAATCATAAAGATGAACAAGTGTATGTAGGAGATGATCGTGATTGGGGTACTGTTTCTATGGCGGCTGGAGTTGAGGAGAATATCTATGGTCTCAGAGGAAGTTCTTCAAGTTCAAATTACAAGGGAAAGGGAGTAGCAAGTTCAAGCCGGTCTCTAATTGATGAAGACTCCGAGGATGAAGAAGATGATAGCCAATATAATACTTACATTCTTGAAGTTCTAGAATTTGAAAATCTTGAAGAAGAATAGATGTTGCTTGTTTTAGACTTTTAGACTTTAGTTTATGAATCTACTATGACTATCTAATGAGTTTTAAATTTTTGAATTGATATATTTATTAATATATTATTGTTATTGAGTTTTTAGTTTTATATATATATATATATAATATTTTATGTTTTTGTATAGATTGTCGCTTCACATCAAAAAGGCAAGCGCTTCGCTACGCGCCTCTCGCCTCAGTGAAGCGGGCCCTCGTCACTATTTGTCGCCGCATGCTATCCAAAACACTGCAGCTAAGGCTGATACAAAATTCAGAATATGATGGAAAAATGTCTCAAATCTTGATACATGTAAGAAGTCTTAGAATTAAACTGGGGGTTACTCATTCAGCAGTGAAAGGCAGTGTTAATGCATATGTAGGTTGGAACAGATGCTAGGTTTGCATCCCAATTTCATTGTTTCATCTCAAATTGTATTGTTTCTAACACGACTGGACATAGCCTGCTTATTCCAAATGATGTGCTAGGTTGGCATCCCAATTCATCTGTCTCATCCCAACTTAAATAACATCGTCGAATTTAGGAATATTGTCGAATAACAGGAATCACTATTGCATCCCAAACCATCTCAAAATCCGCTTGAGATGGTTTCCACAGACAAAAGTCAGGATAATGAAATCACAAGAGTGTTCAAGCACTGCATTGAGCAATACCACAGACATTCATGTGTTGGTTAAGCTATCTACAAGGTTTGTGTTTGAGCTCAAATGCTCCAATCAAATGGTAAAAGTCAAACCTAAACATGCTTAGACTATTCGGCATATACATACCTTGGAGACCGCTTTCTGCCTAAGTCTTTCTAGTTCAGGCTGAACATCTTTCAGAGCTTTTGATGTTTTAACCATGAGATCTGCATCCGAATACTTCAGCTTTTTACTCAAAATTTCAAGGGTCCTCATGTATTCCTCATTAACCTATAAACATCAGTGTTGCATGGCAGGTTAGAAGCCATGAGTGAACAAGGCATTTAAATATGAAATATTTGAAAATTAAACATCTGACAGAATGATGTCTACATGCTATCCAATAGGGAGAGGTCAATGCTTGGTAAGAGAATGAAAAAGAGATAATGCATAATAATTGCCCTGGTTCAGAAGAGCTTTTGAATAACTAGAAGAAGCTTTCCAAATAAAGCCCCATTATCAAATGTAGTACCAGCAGAGCCAAGACCAAAAATGAAATGAGGGGGGAAAATAGCAAAAGAAGGGAGAAGGAGAAAGTCTGTCCAGTGTTAACAGTCAACTACCGAAAAAGGAGAGTGTTTTATTGTAAGATTCGTATGCCAGGAGGGAAATGATGAAAAGAAGGGAGAAGCAAAGTCCAGTATTAACAGTCTACAACAGAGAAGAAGAGTTTTCTATTGTAACTCGATAAATTCATTAGCTATAAACCATAAAAAGTTAGATATAATAATCACTTTGAGAAAGAAAAAAAAAAGAATAAACCAAGCTACTACACAGTCTGTTGCCCCAACATGTCACATCATTGACTCACTATTGGATACAATGTAAGAATAAATATTATGACGAACAAACTAAAGAACCAAAAGTACCTCTCCATCAACAATTATGTCTATCATCCTTGGAGGAACAATAATATCCTCGACAAACTTTGCTAGCTTTGACTCTGCCACCTGCAAAATAACATAACCATTTAGCAAGTACACTACAAACATCAGAAAGTATCTTCCTAGCTCAACACTAGGACTCAAATACGGTTGTCATATCAAGTATACTGGACACCACTGCATGACTAATTTGCACTAGCATCCATCTAATAAGTCTAAGAAGAGGTATATCATGAAGAAATATAAGGAAGAAGTGAAGTTTCTGAGAGATTAAATTGAAATACTTTTTTGATAAGTAAGTTTAAAACATTTTATTAAAACTACCAACTGCGCTACAGCTGTGCTGAAGAAGCTTTAAAACAATGCAAGGCACTGATCAGATCAATGATATCATCCATATCTTTTACAAAAGAAAGTCTGCACCAAAAAGCTAACAAAAGGATGGTTCTATTCTTAAGGCTGAAATTAAATTGAAATTCGCAGTAAATTATTGTCAACATAACTGTGAACAGCTAATTTTAGAGTATTTCAGAAGTTCATGCAATAAAATAGACAACAATAAAATAGGGAATGGTATTCAACAAAATATACGAAGGACACATGCGATGATCCAAACACTAACAGTAACAATGCCTACGAAGACGACAACAGCAACAGCAAGAATTTATGCTTTCATCTATTCATTGTCCTTAAATTAGGCACCTCCAGGTGGTAATGATCATTGCCAAAAAGTACTAGAAGATATGAGAATTCGATTGATCTATATAAGGATGATCAACCAAGAGGTTTTTCTGTTTCCTTAGGGGTGTTGATGCCTTTTGAGAAAATATATATAGACAGAACTTATGAAAAAAAAATTTAGACAGACATTGCCATCCCTAACAGCTAAAAGGACATTAAAACCAAGGACTAACTTAGGATGATTTCTTTACTCTGGCATTACTACTGTAGCACGTAAATACTGTAGCTTTTACTCTGCAAGCAGAATAAGGAGAAACAAAAGTGCAACTACTGATGCAACTTGCAAAACAGCATTTCTATTGTTTGGTAAAGACCAACATACAAGATGTATACAGTAAGTAGCGAAGCCTACAAAGAAATGTGATTCTCCATAAAGAGTATTCAATAATCCACACCTGTTGGAATATTACATATGCTCTGGAAATGTATCAAAATAAAAATATTCCTCTGATGATTTCTACATAGGAGATTTCAGCTCCTTCAAATACGTTTATGTTCCTCTTTTTCCATGTCGTCTGTGTTAGAAAAGGAGCACAACCATCCATGACCATTACTCATGAGGTCTTTTACAGAAAATAAATGTAAAAAGTAGAGCAGCCAGAAATCTATTAGATAAACGAAATGGTCAATACCACACGTTCAGACCAGATAATAACTTCTTCACACATGAAACACAGTTAGTACACACTTTTTATTCATTTATATTTTATACTGATAATTTCTTCACATATGAACATTAAAATACATTTCAATAACAGTTGTCAGTATGAACATTGCTTCTGAATCAGAAGGTAGCATTATCTACAGATGTAACTTACATTTAACCAAATAAAGGAAGCTCAAGCCTAGACTGTAAACAGTAAAAGAAGGTCCATCCTATAACAATAATACCTTGCGATTCTTCAGCCTCAGTCCCATATCCATAGACTTCTCTTGGAGAATTTTGATATCTGAACTTATAGAACCTATCTCTCCCTGGCAGATAAAACAGTGAATATCAAGTTTAATGACAAAAGATATAGGCAACTAGACCTTTAAGATGTTATGTCGTTTTCCTTTAATTTCTTCCGTTTTCTTCTTTGTTTGGTGAGTGAAGTCAGAGACAAAGAAATCCTGTTAGAGATTTTGTCTCAAAATAAAACCGAAGTCATCCCAGCACGTGAACATGAATGATATTATAGAAAATATTACTAAAAGTGACACTGGCAAAAATTGTCACCCACTTTAACATGATATTGACGGAAAGTACCTGAAATCCACTGAGAAGAGTCTCCATTTGGGTAAGAATGATGTCGCAATCACGAATTTGATCATGAAGTGAGACTAGATTATCACTTTCCTTTATGTAATCCTATTAATTTGACGAAAGAGCACATATCATAATAATGTCATTATAACCAAGTTTACAAGGCACTTAAAGAAAACTAGCACATGAGTATGAAATAATCGATCATCATTATAACCCGAGTTCATTAGGTCTCACATGATTTTGTGTTGTGACAACTAGATTTATTGCGTCGGTTTCTGAAAAGAAATATAACTTTGACTAAGGATATACAGAAAACTCTAAGCTGTAGTGCACGGACATTAAGGAGGAACCGCTATGAGTGGAAACTAAGCAGTCTATTGAATCAGCTTAGTAATTACGAAGAAAAGGAATGGTTGAGAGACAGAAATAGTTCTCTGTTTTGGTTACACGGTAGAAGAGGCATATGCTCTGTGAAATCAGGATACAGAACAAAGTACCACCTAGAGTTGTACGCTTTGAATGGATGCAGTGAAATGATGCATGCCTAACACAAGAAAATTTATTAAAAAGATGTTTTGTGCCATGCAATAGATTCTATTGCCGTCAAAGTAACAGGACAGTGGCTGCCATTTATTTCTACATTGTCCACTGGCATGGAAGATATGCAGCATGTTTCTGAATCTATTCAACATCCTTGGCCAACTCATGGTAATGTGAAGGAGGTGCTATGCAGTTGGAGTGTGCAGAAGAGTAACAGAAAGCTTTGGTATTCAATTCCTTTCTGATTTATTTGAGTGATGTGAAAAGAAAGAAATAGGAGATGCTTCAAGTCAAACAGAGTAAAGTTGTGACATCTCAGTTCAGATCCAACTGCATATACTTTTTGTCTTTGGGGTGTGCACTGTAAATAACCTAGAGAAGTGACTAGATTTTATTGATTAAACTACACAGTTAAACAAGGAAGCCTTTGTATTTGTGAATACTTTTGTTATTAGCACTCACTGGGTACTAAGTTGAACGAAAATATCTTACCTCTCTTTCTAAAATTAGAAAATAAATAAAGATTCAGAAAGAAAAATGCATGATATACCTAAATATCAAAGCTGGAACAACTCGAAATCCCAAGTTATCAATACAGACAGAACAATGCTAATGTATTAGTAAACCTGGATAGAATCCAATTCAACTTGCCGCAAATTGTGTTCAACGCCTTTAGCGTATTCCCGCAACGTTGTACCTTTAGAAAGTATGTTTGCAACAACCTTTGTATTCAAATAAGCCAAATTTAGACCCATCATTAGTGTCCCTCAGAGGGGATAAAACTGGATCAAATTGTAACAAATATCGATCTTTAATAGAAATATATTCAGCTGTTACTATGAGTGAAGTGAAATAAATACGATATCCTTACATCATCAGTTTTACATTCCTGTAACTCTTCCTCAAGCCC